ACAACACATACAAAAGCAGAAATAAAGTCTGCACTTAAGAGGCACTTTATGGGCCCTACGACTTTTACTATCTGTATGTAAGCCCTTGACTAGTATCTGTTGTCACCTAGTCCAACTTTTACTATCTGTATGTAAGCCCTCGACTAGTATCTGTTGTCACCTAGGCCCAACTTTAACTATCTGTATGTAAGCACAAGTATCTGTTGTCACCTAGATCCAACTTTTACTATCTGTATGTAAGCCCTTGATCTATTGTCACCTAGATCCAACTTTTACTATCTGTATGTAAGCACTTGACTAGTATATGTTATCACCTAGATCCAACTTTTACTATCTGTATGTAAGCCCTTGACTAGTATCTGTTGTCACCTAGGTCCAACTTTTACTATCTGTATGTAAGCACAAGTATCTGTTGTCACCTAGTCCAACTTTTACTATCTGTATGTAAGCCCTTGATCTATTGTCACCTACGGTCAACTTTTACTATCTGTATGTAAGCCCTTGACTTGTATCTATTGTCACCTAGATCCAACTTTTACTATCTGTATGTAAGCCCTTGATCTGTTGTCACCTAGGCCCAACTTTTACTATCTGTATCTAAGCCCTTGACTTGTATCTATTGTCACCTAGATCCAACTTTTACTATCTGTATGTAAGCACTTGACTAGTATCTGTTGTCACCTAGGTCCAACTTTTACTATCTGTATGTAAGCACTTGACTAGTATCTGTTATCACCTAGATTCAACTTTTACTATCTGTATGTAAGCCCTTGATATACATCTCTTTTATAAACCAAATGTGATCGTATGACATGGTAATGGCTAAACCATGACATTTCTGATATAATGGCAAATTAATGACATTTCTAATAAGAACACAATCGTGACATTTCTAATAAGAAAACTATCATGACATTTCTAATTAGAACACAGTCGTGACATTTCTAATTAGAACAAAATCGTGACATTTCTAATAAGAAAACTATCATGACATTTCTAATACGAACACTATCATGACATTTCTAATACGAACACTATCATGACATTTCTAATTAGAACACAGTCGTGACATTTCTAATTAGAACACAATCGTGACATTTCTAATACGAACACAATCGTGACATTTCTAATACGAACACAATCGTGACATTTCTAATTAGAACACAATCGTGACATTTCTAATAAGAAAACTATCATGACATTTCTAATACGAACACTATCATGACATTCCTCATACGAACACTATCATGACATTTCTAATACGAACACTATCATGACATTTCTAATACGAACACTATCATGACATTTCTAATACGAACACTATCATGACATTTCTAATTAGAAAACAATCGTGACATTTCTAATTAGAAAACAATCGTGACATTTCTAATTAGAACACAATCGTGACATTTCTAATTAGAACACAATCGTGACATTTATAATTAGAACACAATCGTGACATTTCTAATTAGAAAACAATCGTGACATTTCTAATACGAACACTATCATGACATTTCTAATTAGAAAACATTCGTGACATTTCTAATTAGAACACAATCGTGACATTTCTAATATGAACAATATCATGACATTTCTAATATGAACAATATCATGACAATTCTAGTAAGGACACGCCCATAACAAAACGGACACAAATGAATGTATATTTAAATAGAAAATTAAGCTTTCACTATTCTTTTTTCCACCAGCGTCTTGAAACTGAAGACAGCAGGGATTTCTTAGGGAGGCTGTAAAATCAACAGCCGGGGACTGGACAAAATGGAAGGTTAAGGTGAAGGCCCTATGCCCCACACGGGGTAAAGAGGATCAAGTAATTTATAACTTTTATCCGCCTAAAAACGACACAAACAATTGACAAAGTAAATATTGTATTTTTATACATTCCACATAACTTAATTCGGACTAAAATTCGTAAGATCTAATACAATTCTTCCCCCCCCCCCCTCCCTCTCCACCACAAATCATAGTTTGTGTTTTAATTTTATTCCTTTCAACAAAGTTCTGATACTTAACAACTTAACTTTACTAATGAAGTCCTTGGGTAGAAATACCGTTCCTTATAGAGACAGCCCAAACCTCGAATTGTCACTAATACTTTAATTTTTTTAAACACTTGATAACCCCCCTCTTCACTCCTCCTCCCCCCCCCCCCAATATATTTATAAAATCTAATAATCCCGCAAAGACATTGAAATCAATAAATCTCATTCAAACCCAAAATACATCTAAGGAAGTTTTTACTAGTTCAAATAAATATTAAAACGCCGTCAAAAAAGTAAAAATAGAATTTTTGACAGGAAACTTTTTAGAGCCCTCAGGGAACCGTTTAGAAACGGTAGAGTCAACACAGGACGTGTCCTGGTTAAGAGTGCGTATCGCAATAGTCAAACATGGGAGATAAACCGCACAGGGGGAGTAACCCGAATCAGGGGAGATAAAAAATCAAACAAGGTGAGAGATAACCAAAAAAACGAACAGGGTCGGGGGATCAAATATTATCCCGTCACCAAGAAGGTAACGCGAACTTTAGGAATCTCTCAGCAAACGTGGGTAAACTGAAAATCTACTTTCTATACACGGTCGCGGCATGAATGGTAAACAAACGACCGTACGCTGCTTTGATGAAGTGGATTGATATGAATATGACCGTGGCACGCTACAGATACGGCGTGTACTAATAAATTATGGTTCTACAATTAAATCTTTCGTCCCGGGCACTGTGGAAGATATACACGAATCAATACTAATTTTAGTCTTCCAAGGTGGTAGCTGAAAGCCACTTGCGGTAATTCCCCCTTATTCCCCCCGAGTTGAATTCTCCCCCCTTCCCGACTTGTCTTGAATCGACAAGGGAGGGAACTCTAACGCGACTAAAGCAACTCTGTTGTGGCAACCAGCAGGGGAGGTAATAAAACAATTTGCCAGGGGAGGAGACAAGCACTCGAGCGTATTCCTGGATACCGGGCCTTGGACAAACCTGGGCCCACAGATCCCGAGCACTCGACCGGCAACGGTTAATGATCACACGTAATCAAGCCTATGAGACATTCACTGGAACCACGGCTTGGAAGAAATCCGAAGCCCGCCTATTCAATACTCACTGAAAGGTAACCCGTCACGCCGGGCTAGCAGGAGTTATCCCCGATTCTCGAAAAATGTTAAGAGCTTAAACACATTGCATTATTTATATTCATACACCACTAATTGGGCGTGCGGAGCTATATATAGCTATATATATATATATATATATATATATATATATATATATATATATATATATATATATATATATATATATATATATATATATATATATATATATATATATATATATATATATATATATTTATATATATTTATATATATATTTATATATATATTTATATATATATATATATTTATATATATATATTATATATAGTATATAGTTGAGGGGGGCCTCGTAAAAAGTTTCAGCCAGGGGCCCCGCTGAAGCTTAATCCGCCCCTGCCACCAACCAGTTTGAACCAAGTTATCGAACTTTACTCTCGTACAACTTTTTAACTAGACAATATATATATATATATATATATATATATATATATATATATATATATATATATATATATATATATATATATATATATATATATGCCTATACAAATATAAATGCATACATACATATACATACATATACATGTATAAACATAGAAATACACATATGAGAGCGAGACAGAGAGTAATGTTGTAATAAACATCCCATGCTTTTCCACAAGACTAACCATTATGTATAGATGTACAACTTAGCCCGTAACGCCACAATGTGTTTTTATAGCTTCTCTGTCCTGTGCTATGGCAGTGTGAGCAAGGGTTGTACGACGTTATGAGCTCACCCCAGCCCGCACGTCAATAGACCAGTCAGATGCCAGCGTTTAACTATTCATATGTACAGGTCGCCACATACAATAGTGACACGCATATTTAATGGACGCTCCACGTGCAGGCAGGTCGTCACGTGTCTGTTAATTAGGGCGTGAGGTTAAAAATACTGACCAGAGAAACATGACGGACTTGCGTAATTTGTAGGGATGTCAGTAGGGATGTCAGTGGGAATGTCAGTAGAGATGTCATGTCAGTGGGGATGTCAGTTGGGATGTCAGTAGAGATGTCAGTAGGGATGTCAGTGGAGATGTCAGTGGGGATGTCAGTGGAGATGTCAGTGGGGATGTCATTAGGGATGTCAGTAGGGATGCCAGTGGGGATGTCAGTGGGGATGTCAGTGGGGATGTCAGTGGGGATGTCAGTAGGGATGTCAGTAGGGATGTCAGTAGGGATGTCAGTAGGGATGTCAGTGGGGATGTCAGTGGGGATGTCAGTTGGGATGTCAGTTGGGATGTCAGTACGGATGGAGTTGTAGCAGCGATTGGGAAGGGTGGGGGTGGTGTATTGAGATAGAAATTTGGAATATGATGGCATTACTATGAACATAAAGACATTACTGTAAACGTGGGAATTTGATGGCATTATGTAAACGTGGGAATTTGATGATATTACTGTAAACACGAGAATAGTGTGACAATACAGAAAATATTGGGAACATGAGTGTACAACGGTTAATTTCGGAATATGGTTGCTTTACAGAAAATATTGAAACATTATGACATTGAATATTGTAATTATGAGGACATGAATAGCAAATACGGGAATATATTTCGACGATACTATACAAGTTTCGCATGTAGTAACGTTAGATAAATAATGGAAAATAGCGTTTATAAAATTTATAAACAAATGAGTATTAAGTGCATTATATTTTGTTGGAATGTGGTCACTTGTTTAACGGGGGTTTGAGTGTAGCCAGTCAACACATTAACAGGGTTTTAACTTTGGTCAATCAACAGTTTAACTGTATTTAATTATGACCGTCCATTAGCTTAACGGGGGTCAACAGTTTAACTGTGTTTAACTTAGCCAATCACCGGTTTAACAGCAAGACGAACCTGTGGTGGAACTTGGCACCGATGCCCAGTATGGCCGAGGGTGGCATACCCCGGTGCCTCAGCCGTATCCTGACACGCTGCTGTATCCCGCGTGCGTTGATGGCCCGGATGTACTCACTGCCGCTGACCACGCTGATGGAGCCCTCCCTCTGCAGGGGGGAGTCGGGCGTCAGACGGGTGGGTGGCACCCCGCCAGTGGTCGCGTTCCACCGACCGCTGGCCATGTCTATACGGGGACTGACCTGCGTCATTTAATCCTCTTACAGGTGTGTCAGGACACAGGTGTGTCGGGCGGCAGGTGTGTCCTGAGCCCCATCTCACCTAATACACAACCACCTGACACACAACTGAACAGCGCTCATCACAAAAAAAAAACGTTTTTTTTTTTAAACTACGGTATTTTAAACCACTCACAATCACGTCTAGCGTATTACATCCAGTTACCGAAAAATTATCACTGAATTTTTTATCACCGGAACACAACTCAAATTATTTTCAGATTGAAAAAAAAAGTGAAATGAACATCAAACCACAAGCTTGTTTTCTTTTAATTTTCACCCGCTTAAAATGTGCACTATTTACTTAATCAAACACTCCTTATAATAACTAATTTCACAATTTTTTTCCTTAATTTTTTTTTTCAAAATGTTTAAGGCTTCTTTATCCAAAACTTCAAAAACTACTTTCACAATTTTATTTCCCAAACAGTTAAAACTTGAAAGGGTATGTTTCTTAGTCAAACACTTTTAAACACTATTTTCACGATTTTTTTCTAATCCTTAAAAATGGGTAGTTAAGACTACCAAAACTATTTTCACAACCCTTTTTTCCCAATTCCGAAAGAAATTAAAAAACCAAACACTAAAAAATAAACACAATGCCAGTATATCCTAGTGAATAAAAAAAGGCGCCTTAAGATAGCAGACGTGAAGGCCCTACTCGGGTAGCACCAACCGACCAACTAAACAAACTCGGTTCAACCCTCGATTGACTCCACAGGTAAGCGGCGCTCTAAGACTGTATCGTATCTGTATACTTGCGGACTTACAATAAGCAATACAAGAGAATGAGGGGAGAGGGGGGGGGGGGGGGGCGCAGCGGGAATAGGCGGTACATAGTTCATGGGACAAGGTGGGCGGGGCGATTAATGTCGTTAGGTGTAACACTCACATACTGAGGTATGTTTCGGAGTGCGGCCTTCGTTAGATAACGTGTTTTGGTTGCCTGTAATGTAAGCAATACTCGCGTTTTGGTTTTTTAAAAGGTGTTTGGTAATAATTATCGCACAAAAATGTAGGTATACGGAGAGGAATTCTTGTAAATTTTTGCAAGTATGAACCATGTTTGTATTAGTGTATTGTGTGTGTGTATTATATGATTAATGAGCAATAACGATACCAAACAAAACAAACAAAACAAAAACAACAGGCGACGGGTTTGTCACGGCAAGCTTTCATCTTTATGATGCATCAAAACAACACAGCCGTAAACTCAAAGAAAGGAACAGTTACACAGTTATACCATTGGGAAAACGTGATGTATGATGTTGTAGCGACGGTGACGATATGCGATGTTGTAACTATGGTGACGATGTGCGATGTTGTAACAACGGTGACGTGGTATGATGTTGTAACTATGATGACGATGTGTGATGTTGTAACGACGGTGACGATGTGTGATGGTGTAAATATGGTGACGTGGTGTGATGAAACTATGGTGACGATGTGCGATGTTGTAACAACGGTGACGATGTGCGATGTTGTAACTATGGTGACGATGTGCGATGTTGTAACAACGGTGACGTGGTATGATGTTGTAACTATGATGACGATGTGCGATGTTGTAACTATAGTGACGATGTGCGATGTTGTAACAACGGTGACGTGGTATGATGTTGTAACTATGATGACGATGTGTAATGTAGCGACAGTGACGATGTGTCATGTTGTAACAACGGCGAGTGGTGTGATGTTGTAACAACGGCGAGTGGTGTGATGTTGTAACAACGGCAACATGGTGTGATGTTGTAACAACGGTGACGTGGTGTGATGTTGTAACAACGGTGACGATGTGCGATGTTGTAACAACGGTGACGTGGTGTGATGTTGTAACAACGGTGACGATGTGCGATGTTGTAACAACGGTGACGTGGTATGATGTTGTAACTATGATGACGATGTGTAATGTAGCGACAGTGACGATGTGTCATGTTGTAACAACGGCGAGTGGTGTGATGTTGTAACAACGGCGAGTGGTGTGATGTTGTAACAACGGCAACATGGTGTGATGTTGTAACAACGGTGACGTGGTGTGATGTTGTAACAACGGTGACGTGGTGTGATGTTGTAACAACGGTGACGTGGTTTGATGTTGTAGCTATGGTAACGATGTGTGATGTTGTAACAACGGTGACGTGGTATGATGTTGTAACAACGGTGACGTGGTGTGATGTTGTAACAACGGTGACGTGGTTTGATGTTGTAGCTATGGTAACGATGTGTGATGTTGTAGCTATGGTAACGATGTGTGATGTTGTAACAACGGTGACGTGGTGTGATGTTGTAACAACGGTGACGTGGTGTGATGTTGTAACAACGGTAGCAACCATCAAAGCTGTAACCTTCTCTTACAACCCTCTCTGCACCATCCCCAGACATGTGGCAGACGACAGAAGCGAGGAACTGAAAGTTTGTGATCGATCTCCAACACTAGTGGTAGATACAACAACAGCCAATCTACAAAGCACGCTGAGTTTTTATACACAGAAATATACTACCCAGTTATTGGCCTTATGTTATTGTTTTAAATTGAAAACGTGACGAGTACCCACGATACGCATGCGCAACCACCGCCCAACAAACGGAATGTGGAGCAGGGAATTTGAGCATGGCTCATTAATATTCGAGCAGTTTTTTTCTTCAGATTTCGTTCACTCATGTTTTATTAAACAAAAACCACTGAAGGCTTTTTTTTTTTGTTTTAGTTTCGTTATACTAATCTACTAAACAAGTCTTGTTTTTTATTTTATTTACCCAACCAAATCCGTCCAACTTTTAATTAATTCAACTAAATACACGAGAAGTTTTTTTTATTAATTCAGACATATTTCAGTTTATATTTTGAACAAATTCAACTATATGAACGTCTTATTTTAATAAATTTAACTAAATCTGTTTTGGTTAAGACTTATTCAACCAAATTCAAGTCGTATTTACATTTAATTCAACCAAAATACACGTTTTGTTTTTGTTCAACTCTGCCATAACAAATCCTGTGTTTCGCCTCACGTGTTTCAAGTACAATACCGCCATGTTAATCCATCACAACACGTTGCTATGGTTACCTGTCAACAACGCCATGTTGTTGATCTTTTTGAGACCTCCACGGCAAAGTTAGTATAACCAAACTACCGTCAGTATACGAAACTAAACTCGAATAGTAATCTCTACATAACTAGCTTCGGCGATTAGCTAGAGGAAAATATAGTCTCGACAAGCTAGTAAAATCGTTGTTGCTAGTTCTAGTCACAAACTAAGGGAGGTGTTCTCAAACTTTAAAACGGCCTGGATATTTTGTTACAGTGTCTATATTATATCATGTCTACAAGCACATCACATACGATAGATATAGTGTATTCCACATTTTGCCCGTATAGAAATATACACGATTCAAGCTTCCCTTAAATTTAAAAACTAATTTAAACAGAGGCTTTTGGTAATTTGAAAATGATTTACGAAATTATGCGATGGCTTGGAAAGTAGAATCCTTCGTCATTGGTCTGTTAAAATGTTATTTCTATGACAGAACTGCTCCATTCACCAAGTTTAAAGTAGAACCTTCGTCATTGTTCTGTTAAAATGTTATTTCTATGACAGAACTGCTCCATTCACCAAGTTTAAAGTAGAACCTTCGTCATTGTTCTGTTAAAATGTTATTTCTATGACAGAACTGCACCATTCACCAAGTTTATAGTAGAACCTTCGTCATTGTTCTTTTAAAATGCAATTTCTGTGGCAGAGCTGATCCATTCATCAAGTTTATAAAAATACAACCAGAAACAAATAAAAGATTTAAAAAGGAAGATGTGTTGCCGATGTAGGTGGTGTGTAGAGCTCACAGTGTGTGGTGTACTCACGTTTATACTGAAGCACGTGCTCTGTACACACCAACACACACGACCCTATCTACGTGTGATCTAGTAGCGAGTTGTACACTATGTATAGTATGTGTGTGTTTTGTGGTGTGTGTATGTAGTACTGTGAATGTGTGTTGTGGTGTATGTATGTAGTGATGTGTATGTATGCTGGGTTGTATGTGTATCTTATACTGTGTATGTATGCTGTGTTGTATGTGTATCTTATAATGTGTATGTATGCTGTGTTGTATGTGTATCTTATACTGTGTATGTATGCTGTGTTGCATGTGTATCTTATATTGTGTATGTAAACTGTGTAGTATGTATATGTTGTAGTGTTTATGTGTGTTGTAGTGTGTGTGTATGTTGTGGTGTATGTAGTACTGTGCATGTATGTCGTGATGTGTGTACGCAGGCATTGTGCCAACAATGGATTTGATACTTATTTACTGTACGATGTAAACAACGAAAACAACACTGTTACCATGACGACAATCCAACTCACCCAAGAATGATTAATGTCGGTTGCAAGTCACACGAAGGCTGGGGTATGTGTGGCGGGTGTGGGATCAGGTGTGGTGGGTGTGGGGCCAGGTGTGAGGCGATGTGGGGGAGAGGACAAGCGTAAAATCCACCCACAGCCGATCCACCGGCACCACTGATGGAGCTGAACGACCCATACGACCTCTTGGGCAAGGCCGCGAGGCTGACCCTCGATGACCGGATGCTGCCTCCAAGCTGCCCGGAAATGGGCGGCGCCGAGGGCGGTATGAGCCCGCCCTGGCCAGGATTTTGTGACTTCCGGTGGCCACTACTCCTGCTGAAGGTGGAAGTGACGTTGCTGAGTCTCCTGACCGTCTCGGGCCCCTCCCACGGGAAGTCCGACAGGTGGGGGTACTGCTGCTGGGGCGTGTAGACGTCCAGCAATGATGGGCCCACCCTGGCGGTCACGGTGTGATGAGGGGGCCCCGTCATCAGGCGGCATTCGTCTTTCTAGTGTTACGTCATTTTAATCAGGCGACACAAGCTGTACTAACACCAACACCGGATATACAATTAGATTATGTAAAATACTTTCATAACGAAAAAGGCCCTAAAATTCAAATATAACTTTAACACAACGCAAACACCGCATAAAGAGTGAGATCTAATCTACTACAATTTAACAAAGTACTACAAAATTAGCGACACTTTGTTACCGTTATGTGGTACCAAAGCTAGTTTAATGGATTGATGTGATGGGTTTAATTGAATTAATTTCATTATTAATTTATTCTTAGTTAATTACATCAGACCTACATTAGTTTATAGTTTTTATTCAGTTTAATAAAGCTAATATTCCGTTAAAAATAGTAACAATCTTTTAGCTAATATTTCATGGAAGCTCTTTAAAATCTTTAAAATAAGGCCGGAATGCTCTTTAAAACCTAACCCTTGTGTATCACTGAAAGATACATTTACTAAACTATTATTATACTCTCTTTATCTCTCTAACTTGATTAAATTGAGTAATCTCCAAATTTCGGTCCACAAAATCTACACCTCTTTAAAAAAAACGTTAGCTCAATGATCTTTCTACGATTACAAAGTAAAATGAAAGATTTTTATTTTTACTAATGTGGTCAAAAATGAATTTTATAACCAAACTCTAATTATGTATATTGGTCTTTTATTTATCGCTGATTAAAACGGAATTATCTAGTCTATATTTTAAAAAAATCTAAACTTGAACACTATGTTGTTTTTAAATCCCTGCATGATCAACACCCACTGCAGGGGGTAGGAGCTAGAGGCTGTATGGCGAAAACACCTCGATAGATTTCATT